AAATGTCATAAGTATTTAAGCTGTTAATTTCGGTAAAATATAGTGATTTCATATTTTCGAAAAGATCCTTGGAATTTGATATTTTAAGTATTCAAATTTGATTTACACTTATTCTCCAAAAGGTTGTGGCACGTTTGATCCTTTGTTACTATTAATATTTAATGAGAAGTAAGGAAAGAAGCTTGGTTGAACATTAGCTGGAATTCGACATGTATCATTATACCCGCACTTTCTAAAGAAAGTTCGGGTATACTGTTGTTACTCATGTCCGTCCGTCCGTCTGTCACACTTTTCTTCCCTGAACTCCTCCTTCATTTTACACAGTAGATGTAGATGTGCAGTAAGGTTTCGGAACTTTCATTTTGCCTTGCAGGGTCAATTGGGGGTCGAAAAATGATTTTTTTTTTTATGAAAAGCCCCGTCTTCCCTGAATTCCTCTTATATTTTGCTCAGTAGCTTAATCATCTTTTAAGAGATGGTTGTTGGTGTCATGTAGATGTGCAGTAAGGTTTCGGAATTTTCATTTGGCCGGGGGGGTCATATGAGGGTCGAAAAATGATGTTTTTTATGTAAAAAGCCACATCTTCCCTGAACTCCTCTTTCATTTTACACAATAGCCTAATCATCTCTAGGGAGATGATTGATGGTGTCATTTAGATGTGCAGTAAGGTTCGGAATTTTCATTTTGCCCCCGGGGGTCAAAAGGGGTTCGAAAAATGATGTTTTCTATGCAAAAAGCCCAGTCTTCCCTGAACTCCTCTTACATTTTACTCAGTAGCCTAATCATCTTTTAAGAGATGGTTGGTGGTGTCATGTAGATGTGCAGTAAGCTTTCGGAATTTTGATTTTGCCCCGGGGGGGTCAAATGGGGGTCGAAAAATGTTTTTTATGCAAAAAGCCCCGTCTTCCCTGAACTCCTCTTACATTTTACTCAGTAGCCTAATCATCTTTTAAGAGATGGTTGGTGGTGTCAGGTAGATGTGCAGTAAGGTTTCGGAATTTTGATTTTGCCCCGGGGGGGGGTCAAATGGGGGTCGAAAAATGATGTTTTTTTTATGTAAAAAGCCACATCTTCCCTGAACTCCTCAAATGGGGGTCGAAGTTTTTTTTTTTTTTAAATATTTGATATGTTTAATCACCCTGCTTCCAAGAACCTCCCGAATATTTTATGCTTTAGCCTTAAATCATTATCATTTGGAAAATGATTGGTTTGTTTTGTGCATGTGTAAAATGGTTTCAAAATTTGCATTTTCATGTGGATGGCAAAAAGGGGCCGGAAAAATGGCCCCTCCCTAACCCAGGGGGTCATGATTTGTACAAACTTGAATCTGCGTGCCTCTTGAGAATGTTTCCATATTAATCATGCTCTTGTTGTTCATGAAAAGGAATGTGCAAGGTGAAGTTTATGATGCAGTTGAATAGCTCTCACTAATACGTATCAGCATATTAGGTTTGATAAAAATATCTTGAATGATTTAAGGAAACTGACCTTAACACTTTTTTTAAGAAAAGAGAGGTGAAAGGAAAGGTTGAGGTCAAAATGTTGCTGCAGTTGAAAAGTTTACATCAGTATGAATTTAATAAATTACTATTAGCAAATGAAGTTTGATAAAAATATAATGGTTTATTTTAAACTTAGATAAACACATATTTTAAAAAGTGAGGTAAAGGTCAAAGGAAAAGTCAAGGTCAAAATAAGTTGATGCATTAATAGCTCTCAGCAGTACGTATCAGCATATGAAGTTAAGTTTGATAAATATATCTTGAATATTAATTTTGGAACAATAAGGTCAAGGTCACAGGAAAGGTCAAGGTAAAAAAAGAGTGAAGTATTGTAAAGCTTGCATCACTATATATCATCATGTGAAGTTTCATTACACAACTTGAATGGTGTCTTTAAAATTAAGCTTAACACTAATTTTTAAAGAAAAGTTAAGTGAAGGTCAAAGGAAAAGTCAAGGTCAAAAATTGTTGCTGCAGTTGGATAGCTTACATCAGTTTGCATCAACATATGAAGTTTGATTAGACTCTCTTTTAAACTGAGCTAAACACTAGTTTAAAAAAAGCAAGGTTAAGGTCAAAGGAAGGTCAAGGTCAAAAAATTTTGATGCAGTTGCAGAGTTCTCCTCAATATCTATCAGCATATGAAGTTTGATAAAAATTTCTAGAATAGTTTCTTTGAGCCGAAGGAAAGACAAATGAAGGGTGGAGGACGAACATGACAAAAACTCTACATTTATTCCCAATCATTGCATGGCATTAAAAACTTGAATCTACATATTATATGAGGATGTTTTCATATCAAGATTATACAAGCAAATTCAAAGAATTGTGGTCCTCTGCTTTCTGTGTTTTAGTGAATGGGATGACATAATGTATTGCAGATTGTGTGTCAAATATGCACCCCCTATCAATATTGTTTTTTATGTCATTTGTTTGTTTGTTGTGAAACATCCCTCTTAGGAATTTTTCACTCATATGGAGACAACACCACTTGAAAAATAATGAGGACAAGGCAGATTTGAGGTCAACATTCATTTTAGGAGTTTTCAACCATTAAGACGTAAAGAGATATCAACTCGATCCTTCCGAGCTTGCCCCTTCCCAGACCCCAGTTTGTTCATGTATGCAAAGTACTACTTCTTTTTACATTTACAAAAATGTTAATACATACAAATAGTTTAATGTGGTCCATCTCTTTGAATGATTTTCATTCCTAATTCTAGGAGGATAGATTGACACAAATTCATGAATAAAATGTCAAGCAATCTTATCATTGATGCACTTTTATTTAATTTAATGCAGTCATATTGTGAACATTTCCAGTTCATTAGGAGAGTGGGGATGACCTCCAGGGGTTCATAACCTTTATGCCATTAAATTTACATAACCTAATAACACAAGAAACAAAATTATGTATAGTCAAAAGGAAAAAGTTTCCTACTACGTTTGTCATTACAGGGACAGGGAGTGGATAGGGAGGTTCTTCCTCCTCCCCGAAATTTGCAGGACTATAATATATACTGAAGCAAATAAAAATGACCTTGGATGCACTCCACCCTAGAAAACAGACCCCATCATAACTTTTTTTTCCATCTCAGGAAATTATTGTCTGGAAACTTCCCTTCCCCCCCCCTTCATCCCAGAAAAAATTCTGGATCTTGTAACTGAATGTAACATCGACAACGGGGGATAACTCTTCTGAATGTGGAATTTGTCTATTGTAGCATCCAATGACCTTTGATCCTTTAAACTTTAACCTAACCATTTGCATTTCAGACTATTCTAACCAAATCTATACCAAAACTTGCACTTACCGACTGTAATGGTTCCTGTCAACTTCATGAAATATAATCCAATTAAAATACAAAATGAAATAATTCCTTCAGATATACATGCAATGATATGTACACCACACTGCACGTGCAGTGCAATCTAAAAATGATAATGGTAAAACTAGTACTTAAGTTGGGTACGTGTCGCAAGCCCACTGTGATGCAGGTGTTCAGATACATGTAAAGTACAAGAACAAATTCAAAATTATAATTTTACAAAAGATGTTTCATTTTAACTTTGCCATCTAGGCCTATTTCCAAAAACAGGCAAATAGGGTGTGTTTGTGTGTGTGTGTTGATGGAAGAGGGGTGGGGGTGCCTAAATTGATTGTGTACATGACAGCTTTCGAGGAGTTTTTGCCTAAAGTTTGCACATTTCGAAAAATTCATCAAAAACGCTTTACACAAATTTGAATAATATTATTTGTTGTTGATCTTTATGAGAAAATAGATATTAAAAGTTCCAATTATGGGCCAAAAATTTGTAATTCCCCTTTATCAAACCTAATTTAAATCATTAATTAAATTCTGTTGTTTAATTCCAGACTGGTACATGTAATGAATTAAGATTATGAAATACCTATAAGAGGCTCATGGGTCATATGGTCACCTGAACATATTATGTTGGGCTTGGTGAAAACATGTACATGTATTATGTAAATTATTGAATTATATTGACTTGGTGAAGCCCAATTTGAGGGAGTGTTTATTTAGAGGCAAGCACCTTAGTGCGGGTATTACTGTCTCATGACAGCATCAAGTTGATTTTTGTTTTTGTTTGTTTGTTTGTTTTTATTTTTTTTTTTTGGGGGGGGGGTTTAAGAAGTGTCGGAAAGTAATAAAGATAATATTCAAATTCATTTTTGGTTAACGTTGTTTGGAATATAACAACATATTGAAAACTGACATATGGTTTTGAAGAATTTCTTCCTAACATGCATCAAATTCAAGTTGCACACATGTAAACATAAAACGTCATCAAAATGAATATTTCTCACTTAAAAAAGAAATGAAGGAGTTTATGGTCATCTATACTTTTGCTCCAAAGCTACTTTCTGAATCTGGTACATAGTATTTTTTCCTGCTAGTTAGTAAAAACTATAACATGATAAACATTCAGTAAAACAGTTAACAATGATATATCCTGCACTTTTGCGGGATTTAACTTGTGTTAAAGAAAGGTAAACGACTTTTGATTACACTAGTCAAAGAACTGCGTTTTCCATAAGCGTTTCGTGAAGATCAAGTCTACCAAGTTTCATCAGAAGATTGTTTATATATTTGAATGGGTTACTTTGATCCTTGATACGGACTACCATCCTTTCTAAAAAACTTTCTTCTGTTTTCTGGGTATCCATATGCATCTCCTTTCTTAAGCGTTGTTTTTCGTCCTCAGTCAGTTGAAGGTATATGTCATTAACGACACGCTCTGTATGTCTAATGGCGTTTAATTCCATCTTTTCTCTCTCACGTTGTCTTTGCCTTTGTAAATTTTTTCTCTCGTCTTCAAAACATAGAGTGGATATTCAGTGTTAATGTTTCGTTAGTAAATATGCAATTTATTTATCGAATGCATATGGGGCAATATTTATTTTTATATTTTCACGAGTAAGAAATTCGAATGAAAATATCAAAAATTCTGTTTCACGAGTGAAATAAATTTCACATTCAATACCAAAGCATTGAATTGTTCTGTTTATTACATTTTCTTTAACACCCCCCTGCCTCTGTCCTTTTGTAATTCAGTTAAAGGCTACATGACGTCATAGTTTCAGAGAGGTTGAGAGGTCATAGCTAAGTTTTGTGAAATTGAAAACATTGAAAACATAGTTTTAACAACATATATTGGGCAGTCAGTTCGTCAGTTTTATTCTCCATGAGAATAGTTTATTTACTCTCATATTTTACAGCACTCTTCTTTATGGGAAGGAAAATCGACAGTTTTACTGCACTTCTGATCCATGTATTTGTTACAGTCTGATAGGAGATCATTTTGACATCACTTGCACACTGCGACAAAATATTACTTCTATTTATGAATATATACATGTACATGTATATTATAGTCGTTCACCATTGAAAATATAAAATTAATTAAGTTAATAAGCGTCCACTCAATCTCATTTCTGCTTTTATCAAACCACAATTTTTATCATGATAAACAAATATTAAATTACTTCAATGAAAAGTTAAACAGTTTTTTTTTTAAGTAAAAATTGTTTTGTTTTCATGAACATAGTGTATCAGCGATGAACATTAAAACATTGGAATATATTTACCATTTGTGTGCTTTTCCTTTTCTTCAATTTCACAAGCAGCTAAAAGAGAAATAAATAAAATCATAACTCTGGCAAGAAAAAGAAAAAAACAAAAAAACATCTGAAGTGATTACAATATATAGATAAAAAGTACAACACTTCAAAGATTTGGGATTTTAGTTCTGAAACTTAAAAAAAAACTTAACTTTGTATATTACCTTCATATCTCTGTCTTAAAAAACTCCACGTCAGTCTTTTCCAATCCACACATATATTGCCGACATAATACTCCAAATGACCTGTTGGTACCCCAGGATCGCTAACCTCAACATTTACAAAACTTGTACTCTTCTTAAGAAATTCTATCTGAGGGGTTGAATTCAACTTGACTGATGTTTTCATATTTTCTGAAAACAGAAGTTTCACTTTTCCACCTGACTTTATGGTAAAATCTGCAGACTCGTCGCCATCTTGAATCTGCAGCCAACCTTTGTCCAGCATTGCATTTGATTTCTTGTTCAGATAGAATCGCTGTGATTCAATGCATTCTGCTCTTAATTCAATTAAATCAGGGTCATCTTCTGGAATCCTGAACATCGTCAGGAGTTTACATTTTGCTTTCAATCCAAGAAGTGTTAAAAAGTCATCAAGAGCTTGTTCCAGAAAACCTTTTTGACGTTGGTCATCTCGAGATGAAATCTGGGATTCCGTGATTTTGACGACATGTGTTCTAAAAATAATTTTTACAATTTGTCATTACAGATAAATGATACTGAGGTTTGTCACTCGTCAGGTTTTTAAAGAAAGGTTCAGTCAAAACCTCTTACTTCAAAACCGTTATTAAATTGAATTTTTTTTTTAAAAATCGCAAATTAATATAAAAGACGAACCTTTTTTTTTTACATTCAAATAAAATTAATGCTCATAAATTTATAAAGAAGCAAGATTTTTGTGGGACGTGGAGACCGGTCCTTTCGATGAGACCATATAATCCGAGGTCCCATGACGCAGTAGGCGCTGGTACGAAAAAGATCCCACACTGCTCAATGGCCCTAGGTGCTGACCATAGGACAAAATTTGCAGCTTTCCACCAACAAATCTCGAGAGGGACGTTTAACAACATACAATCAATCAATCAACAAACTTTTGCAAAGAGATGAAGATATATTTAAAACTTAAATCTCTTACCCCAACGTCTTCTATCATTTTTTTTAAATTACTTGATACTTTCGACCGTACGTACAATCATTATAAAACATAGGTAATCAGAGATTACAGAGCTCACCTCAATGAATGTTGTCTTTAAGTAAGGCAAAGTCACACAATTAACCAACAAGAAGTGTACATTCCAAAAATGAAAATATTTAAGCAATTTTAATCTGATTTTGAAACAGACCTACATAAAAAATTTAAACTAGTTCTTCTTCATGAAAATGTAGTTAAAATCCAGCATCTGAAGCAAATTTGAGAGTTTCCATCTCTTGATGCAACATTTGTGCAAGTTTGGTTTATCCAATGTTATATAAGCCTTATAGTTTATTGGTAATAGACCTGCACCCATAACTTTTACCTGGTCTATTATCGAAAATGTATGTCGAATTCAGCATCCGAAGCAAGTCCATTAGTGTGCATCCTAAGATGTATCATCCATGCAAGTTTGCTCATTATAGGGCTCATAGTTAATTGGGTATGAAACATGCATCAAAAACTAACATTTTCACTCATCAACAAAAAGTAGGTCAGATTCAGCATCCGAAGCAAGCCCGGTAGTATGCAATGCCATCCTTATATGTATCATCCATGCAAGTTTGGTCATTAAAGAACTCATATTTACTTGGAAATGAATCATGCACCAAAAACTTTAACCTATTCACTCAACTGGAAAATGTAGGTCAGATACAGCATCCGAAGCAAGCCTGGTAGTATACATCCTTATATGTATAATCCATGCAAGTTTGGTCAACATAGGGCTTATAGTTACTTGGAAATGAAACCTGCACCAAAAACATTAACCTGTCCACTCAACCATAAAATGTAGGTCATATTCAGCATCCGAAGCAAGCCTGATAGTATACATCCTTATATGTATAATCCATGCAAGTTTGGTCAACATAGGGCTTATAGTTACTTGGAAATGAAACCTGCACCAAAAACATTAACCTGTTCACTCAACCATAAAATGTAAGTCAGATTCAGCATCCGAAGCAAGCCTGGTAGTATGCATCCTTAGATGTATCATCCATGCAAGTTTGGTCAACAAAGGGCTTATAGTTACTTGGAAATGAAACCTGCACCAAAAACTTTAACTTGTTCACTCAACCAGAAAATGTAGGTCAGATTCAGCATCCGAAGCAAGCCCTGTAGTATGCATCCTTAGATATATCATCCATGCAAGTTTGATCAACATAGGGCTTATAGTTACTTGGAAAAGTAACCTGCACCAAAAAACTTAACCTGTTCACTCAACCGGAAAATATAGGTCAGATTCAGCATCTGAAGCAAGCCTGGTAGTATGCATCCTTAGACGTATCATCCATGCAAGTTTGGTCAACATAGGGCTTATAGTTACTTGGAAATGAAACCTACACCAAAAATTGCACCAAAAATGTTAACCTGCTCCAAAAACATTAACCTGGTCATTCCTTTGCTGAAATTGCAGCATCTGAAACTTTGACTGGTACAATGAAACACTCTAGAACCATCTTCCATGCATGTCTAATCAATATAGGACATAGAAGTACTTAAAAAGAAAACTGCTCCAAAAAACTTAACCTGGGATTTAAACACCGACACCGACGCCGACGCCGACGGGGACGCATATTTTTTAAAGCTCCCCCAACTTCGTTGAGGTGAGCTAAAAATGATACAAGAAAATATTTTGTTGCCTATTTTGACTTTTTACTACACCAAATATGATACGTGTTAGTTCAAAAAGGTCACACAAAAATTTATGCACAATACCCCCACCCCCTCCAATTTTCTTTTCGATTTTGAGTCCTACTTTCCTGGTATGTCGTGAGTACTTCTCCAAAATATATTTCTCAAAATTCCTTCATATTACTAACTTTAAAAATAATATACTTAATCACTCGATCGGGGCTTTTTTTCGCCATCTTCAATTTTTTTTATTCAAAAGAACAGATTGGTCACTCTGAATGTTTCCTAACTCTTTTTAATCCAAACGTGTCATCAATTCAAATAAATTTCAAACATATATTTGAAAGAATGTTTAAAAGAAATCGGACATTTACATTTCGCATATGAAACATGCCTTTCTGATTTCATTTACAGACAGTTCTATTTTTAATTCTTTACATTTAATTTCAACTTACGTTGAATTTGGTTTTAGCTCAAAAGCAAGACTTTTCTTGTGAGCTCTTGGTTCTACAATCTCGGGTGTCCAGTTTGATGATCCCGAATCCGAGGTTATCCTGACATATTTTGCTTTCTCTTCATTCTGTTCTTCATTAGGAAGCTCTATCATGCCGTTGTTGATTGGAGATTGAGATGTTACTTGAATACCTTCCGAAATGGTTATATGACCATATTCCTCAGGTTTCTCCTCCTGATAACCTCTTATTCTCTCTTTGTCTGTAATATGTACCTATTCATAAAACAAACACGGGGAAAATGTTCACAAAATATACAAGATTGGAATTACATGTATAACATTGAAAAAGCCATAGACTAAAAAAAATGATAAGAAAATAAAGAAAAAATTTGATTAATAGATTAATATCATGCTTTAATCAAAATATACGCTGCAAAATTATAGTTTTATCCAAACATACCTATAGTTTATAGGAAGTTATTTTCAAAATTAAATATTTCGGGAAAAGATCACCTTGTACTTGACGGTAAGTGAGTCAGAATGTTCGGTTGGAGGGATTTTGAAACAGCAGCTTGCTTCTGGAATTTCCATTGAAACGCCTTTGGATAGTTCATTTTTTGAAAACTCTTTCTTTCCAGATGGAAATTCATAGTGCACCACAAAGATATCACCAGGTTCAATAGTCATAGTAACCTTGTTACGCTTAAAGTGGTAAAACAAATTGTGTTCAGTTGTCTTACTTGCATAATTTAATTAAATATCACAACTTTACAAATAATTGAATTATTTTAAAGACAGAGAAGGGTAAAGAAAGGGATCTATTAATCAAAACTAATACAAAATCAATAGGTTAAGATTTCTATTTGATGAAATTAATGCAATTTATTGTCAAATGATACCTCGTGATCAATCTTAATATCTTGAGCCTGAGTCCATTTGCCGGACTTGGAATCTTTTACTTTTCCTTTTACCGTCTGCCAGGAAAACTCCCCTTTGTTGTCTAAACATACTCTGGTTGTCGCTGAAAAATCTTCCATCTTGTAAACCTGAATAATCTCATTTTTCTCAAAATCACTGTCCTTAACATCTTCTTGGTATTTATCTGGGGATAGCTTTTTTAGAGTGCCGACAAAATCTGAGTCCTTTTCCTCTTCAAAATCCGAATCAGCGACTTCTTCAAAATCCGAAGAAGTAAGAATGGATATATCTTCTTCTACTAATTCCTCCCCGGGAGGAAGACTAAAAAAAATGTTTCTCTGAGTCAGTGGTATTACAGCACAACATGTTTAACATGTTTTTTTTATTTCAATAAAATGGATTTGCTTCTGATCTATTCTGTTAATTGTTTTGAGAGAGAGAGAGAATTCAGAAAATAGTAATTACTAAACTGTTGAAATTGATTTTTTTTTTCGAATATATATGGTATAATTTCATTTACCGATCCTCATTCACTTCCACTGAAGAGGACCCGGTATTTAAACCAGAAGCATAGCTTGCTTTTGACTCACTCGCAAACATTTATCTCCAAAATTTAAAATAGGAACAAGATCGTTTTTATAATTTTTGTTAAAAAAAATATTACATTACTGAGAGAATTTACTAATTTACTAATAAACACAAAACACGAAGTATAGAAACATTAAGAAATTTTTTTTCAGAAAGACTCACCATTTCTTTCCTAATTTTATACATTCTCCAATATTGTAACAAGCAGTTTCGATGCTTTTCAAAATTGTATCTAGACTACCTTCTCCACTAAAATAAAAATTAAATGATTTAGTATTCTCATATTTACGAGGGTTGTTCCAAAAGGTCGTGGAATTTCTTTCCAAAAAATTTCGTGATTTGATGAAAGCAAACAAAAGCTTTATTTTCAATAAAGAGTCATTTTGCAATGATACTTGAAAATTTCACCAAGTTCCAATTACCAATAAGTTCACACGAGCTTTTTGAAAATGGATTAGTTGTAAAACCCGGTGGAGACTTCGACGTAACGTCAAGTTAAGTATGTCATGTCAAGTTATAAGGGCCAAGTAAAGGTGCATGAAAAATTTCATGAAATTCTTTTGAAATTCTGAAGAAAGCTTATAATGATCAATCAAGTTGCTTGTCAACAGTGAACCTCTATTAACGCTTAATTTGTCTACGAGATAAAACAGGCCCTACAATAGGCGGCCACATCTATAATCAACCTCCATGGAAGTTGTATTTTTCTTAGATTTCTCATGCCACTGGAAAATCAGATGCTTACTGCATTTTTCTCCGGCCTGTATCAGTAGTATATATTTAAGTCAAAGCGTTTCCGAGATTTTCATAAAACATATAACTTGTCTGAAATTTGACGTTGTCTAGCAATTTAAGGACAAACAATAACAATTAACAACGTCAAACTAAATAATCATTTAAATCAGTACAACTCTCACACAGAGATTTGTAAGAGGTCAAGCAATTGTAATAATGACATAATTTTCGTTTTATAGGCTACATAGCCCGGTTTCTTTCTCATTTCAAGTATTAAGAATTAAAATGATAATGAAAAAATAAATGTGTCCCCCGCTTTTTCATACATCCGTTTCTACGGCAACTGCCATTGAGTTTGTATTATATATATTCAAATTTTTTATATAAAAAATTTATATAAAGTGTCTTTATTCTCATTTGTAATTTTCAACCATTTTCACTAATAAATAATTAAAATATGAAGAAATTCCACGAACTTTTGGATCAACCTTCCTAAATGCTCATGTTTGATAGTACATTAGCTTGTTAAACTAAGTAGGTCTGATTAAAAAAAATCCAATTAGTTATACTTTTAAGTACATGTACATGTAGACCTTCCTGAAAACTTAAGAAAAATTTTAGCTTTTAATAATTTTACAAAATGATACCATGATTCGGTTTTGAAAAGGAATGAGAAAATTTCTACCTTTTCCGATAACGTATCATTTGTGTCTTGCATTCTTTAATGTCTTGGCAAACTGGACTTATTTCCGCTTTGAAATTTAATGAAAAGGCATCAGATGCACTGCAAGTAAGAAATCCTGGTAAATTTTAACCAATTAAAGGTTGTTTTCTAGAACATTTTTACGCTTGACAGAAAAAGTCATTTTTTCTGCAATGATTTGCTAAACAAAAACTTAATAGTTTCTTTCATAGTGAATGAATTTTAATAAACAAGGTATATTTATCACCGTCAATCTCTGTAGAATTAAATTATATATGCAAAATATATAATAAAAATAATACTCTAAACCAGCATGAGGTAGAAGACATCTACAATATAACGATTCCTTGATACTTGGTTTATCAAAAGTCAAAAAGAGAAATAAATTGCAATGCGATATAATCGTATCGAAAGACTGACAAGAGCACATACATATACAAAAATTTACCCATGGTTACACTCATACAAATTTTTAGAAAGTTTTGTTGACCTCCTAATGAAAAGGTTTGAGACAGGTTTTGAAGGAAGTATAAATGGATAATAAACAGATGGTGCATACCAAAACATAGTGTCTATTTACTTTTTTTCGAGTGACAATATAAAATGAGTATTTTTTTAGCTACTGGTCTTAGGCTTACAAGACAAATATTATAAATAAATCTAAAACATTAAAATTTTTCTCCACAAATTCTAACTTTTCAGCTTCAATATTCAAATTATCTTAGAAAAAATTATCCCAATAGCCTAATGGCGTAGGTATTTTATATACATCTTATTTCATATTAATCTGGAAAAAATGTTGGTTGCAGTTTTTAATAGACTTGCAAAAAAATCAGAAGATTTCTTTCTAAAAACAAAATTTACGTCTGGAAGGGTTTTAGTACATAGGTCTGAATAATATCTTAAGGAAAAGATTAATATGAAACAAAAAAGACAAAAAAGGTAAAAAAAAAAACAAAACAAAAAAACATAAATTCTTTAAAAGGAAAAAAAAAACAATATAACAAGATAAACAACAATGTGATTTTTTTTTTTATAGGAAATCTAATGTTAGTTTAGTTTCATCATTATTGGATTTAGTTTCATCCTAGTTACATTACATGTGAAGGAGTTATTTGTTCGGTACCTTAAGCTGCGAATTATACTACGACCATGAATGAGAATTCTCCTTGTTTGTTTGAACATCTGCTTGTACCTTTCCATCTCCGTATTCCTTCAATTAATAATAAAGCAATAATTATAAAAATAAAAAAGGATAATAAGTAATGTTCCTTCCTTTAAACAACACGTGTAAATCGCTTGTGAAAATGTTGAAAATAATACATGTAGATACTGATATTTATATGATTGCTTGTAAAAATGTTGAATATATAGTCGAATCACCTTTCGTCTGCCGGTGTACATTTCAGTAGTTCTCGTGCTAGCCCGCAGACTCTCTGGATAAAGAGGCACTGCCGTACCTCGCAAATGAGGAAGGGTTTAAATTTCTCAGACGTTCTTAAAAAGTAAATAAATACATGACTGTGTTTCCCCAAAAGCCCAACAGATTTTTTGTAGCACTGAAATAAATGACTATTTGCTTACAGAGTTGATTTTTCCTTAATCCTCTATGAATATAAACATTATTCAAAATTATATTGTGAGGAAGAACTACTTAGTGATTACACGGTGAATATTTGATATTAAAAAAATATTTAAAATATGAATGATAAATATGAAATTTAAAAGTTTTGAAGTGGAAAATTAAATGAGATATTGATCTTAATATACTTACCTGATGTTGTTTATTTTCATTGATTTCAAGACAGGTTTCATTTCTTTGCAGATAAATGAACAAAATTCTATACATGACGCATGCAAGGAAACTCTACATCTGCAATTATTTGTGATGGTTTAGATTGCTTTAAATTATTCGGAATAAATATCTAATTCTGTGATAAACAGTAAATATAGTGTGTATATTTTATTTTCTTTAGTTAATTCTTATTTCAATGAATCGTTAACCTTTCTATAGGAATTATTTAATTCATCATAAATCTTACTCTTGAATATCGGAAGATGAAACATTATCAATTTTGGCTTCGTTTGAAAGGTCGGTTGGAATATCAGGTGTAAGAAAAGATAATATTTCATCTACAATTTCAGGAATTTGGACAATGCTGTCTATTTCTTTATGGTGTTCAGTAGAAAACCTAGAAAATTGAAAAATTTTATTGAAGTATTTTTGAAATGTCATCTTGACATATTTTAATAATTAGAGACGAAAAACTAGGATATCTGCATTTATTTTACATCGGTTGGTTACTGCAACGAATATTTTCTAGTCGTATGCGAATGCAATGATACATGTATTTATCACTTCTTATTAAAATTTTATCATAAAGTTTCTTATTCAAGCATTGAATTTTTAGTTTTGCATGTCGTTGGTCCTATAACACAACTGGTCAAGTCGTCAAATTGATTGCGCGGTATGATAATTTGTCGGCATGGCCAAAAAATTGAAAAATTAACTTTGAAGACCCAGTTGTTGTATTTTGAGGTCAATTTAACAGGGTATTTGTTTTTATTAAATTGAGTCAAAACATTGTATATTTCGGTGTTCCTATAGTATAAAAAATTTATATAGTTCCTACTGTGTATCCAACCGCGTGGTAACAAGGTTTCGCATGTGATAAAGACTCGAACGTCGGGGATTTTTAATAGATTCTATAAAGATTAATTACAGTGAATGTAAATATGCAACAATTAGAAAACTTTATACTGAGGGGCATATCCTTTCATGCAGATAATTAGGGATTGTTATGCCCTGATATTCTTAAAACTTTTAAGAAGGGGTCCATATTGTTCATAATAAATACGTGAAATCATTGCATATAAATAACTTGAACAAAATTTATGAGCATAAAGAGAAACATATACCACATAACAGAATAAATATCAGTTTAAACTAATTTGAATCCCTTTCAAGTATTAACACCGTTCACGGTAGCTCAATCGGTAGACCGATCGCTCCGTGATCGGGAGGTCGTGATTTAGAATCTCGGCTTCGACTGACGTGAGTCGATAAAAATGGGTAGCAACTCTTCCTTTTGGCATTTTCTCGGCACGTTGAAATGGAAGTTGCGGTTCCTTCGGATGAGACACGAAGGCTAGTGTCACGACAGTTGTTGACACGATAAAGACCCGTCACTGCTCAGTGCCCTGAGTGCCGAGTAAGGTTAAATTTTGAAGCCCTTCATCGGTATATGGCAACGTCTCTACATGAGTGAAAAAATATCGTGCGGGACGTAAAACAACATAGAATAAATCCATCAGTCGTGTATATATAAAGAGCTCACCTGTGGGTAATCTGCTGACAAATGTGGCAAACTATTACACTGGTATCTTTGATAATGGCAAAGATCAGAGGAAATACTTCTTTACATTGTCTAAAAATATGTAAAAAGTATTTTTAAAAAGTAAATTATTGTAATATGAAATAACCTGGCTAGTCAAATTAAATTATCTGATAAGTACATTAAGGGTTTTTTTTAATTTCTAAATGTTTAAGCACTCATTCTTCAGCTAAATGAAATACAAAAAATACATATATCTATTTATAGATAATAGATATTTAAGAAGATTATCAACCCTGTTACCGAAAAAAATAATTCTGTGGAAAGCCTGCATGGGAATTAAAAGTAGGAATCTAAATTTAAATTAACTGTAAATTCTTCGAAAAACGTCACAAACAATATACTACAAGGTCCTCTCAGTACATGTATATTCATTTCAGCTAAAACTTCGTAATAATCCTGTGTTTTATTTTAGTATGCTGACTTTTAAAGAAGTGTGAATAAGATTGATTTTACTCCGCTTTGCGAAGAATTGCGCAAGAAAGACCGCACTTGGTTTCTTTAAAAGCCTTCCAAATTCCAAGTGTTGTCTTACATGTATTTCTATGGTCTAAAAGAATACGTAAGCTTTATAATTAAAACGAAGTCAGTCCAAAAATTTCTTACGGAGTTATTTGAAAGAGGTAAATACTCAGTATATTTTATATTGTAATTTTGTATGTTACCTAAATCTAATAACAGGTGCATCTTGTGTACGTTTTAATATTTCCAGCAAAAGTTCCAAACAGACAGTAGTGTCTTGTACAATAACTTCTCCTTTCTCCCAATCTTTACCTTCCATTCTAGGTATGAATATAATTGAAAAAAAAAACATATTAAGAAGAATTTTAAGATGAAAAATATTATTCTTGACACATTTTGTTAATGAAGATTTAAGAAATGTTACAGCTAAAAGATACTATAAAAGAAATTTAATGCTTTTCTGTTTTACTCCAACATACATTGATAGCTGAATAGCACCAGTTCTAATTGTTTCCACACGTAATTTGATCTGATTAATTCCATTGTCCACCGTGTTTCTGTGTACGTCTCTGAAAGAAAAAAAGTCATATACATTTTGTAGATTAAGTATTATTTTAGAAACTGGATTGCGATTTTTTAATTGCTATTTAGTGAAAAGTGCAAACTAATATTTCTACTGATTACCCTTTTACCCTCAATGAGGTATGACAACAATTTCCTCAATACTTTTTAATTTGTATTTTTCGTAGTCTTCAAAATTTATCTATAATTTTCATTTTCTAATGCATTCGTGACTGTTTTCAAAAATTTTCAAAATAAAGTTAAAGATGATTTTAACATGCAGATAAGAAATGAGTACTTACATGTGCCTTTGATCTTTTCTTGTTAGGTTTTCTATCACGTTCGTTACTTTCTCTCTGAATTCCTCTTATGACATAAAAAAAAATTATCATATGAAGGTCAGAACTTTGACTGGAATTTTGTAATTGTCATATTTTTTTTCAAGTTTCATATACAATAGGCTCTGGAAGAAAGATATTTAGAGTTCTAAAATTGATAGATGATAATTTCATCAATTTTGAATAGGCTGCTACGAAAAATACAAACAAAAATATTCAGGGTCCGTCTCGATGGTTAGCATGTCTGTGGGAACGAGGGAAGAGGTGCCTCCACCCAAATAATATTGCCGGTTCGTGTTTCGGATGTTGGTTTGTTAATTTGGATATTCTAAATAAAATTTGATATATTTGGGGAGATCAACTTATGTTTTGTATTTACACATAACATTATCAGTGATGTATTGTGTAAGAGTGATCTCCCCTTTATCTGATTTACCTTTGAATTTTCTGTCGTCATTTATACATGTATAATAAATGAAAATTCATTTATCAAATCTGGTGTTTATGTTACTTTTATATGGATATAAATTGTTATAAGTATGAGCAAAAAAAACTGGCTTCAGTGAACTTGTAAACCTATTTGTCCCTATTATCAAATGCTAAATAGTTACAGCTTGATGAGTTTCATAAAAAGTTAAATATGTATGTAAAAGTGTTAAAATCAATTTGAATTTTATTCATGTAAACGAAAAATTTGATAATATGCCAAATCTCTCTCTCTCTCTCTCTCTCTCTCTCTCTCTCTCTCTCTCTCTCTCTCTCTCTCTCTCTCTCTCTCTCTCTCTCTTTCTCTCTCTCTCAGTTCAAAATCTGATTTTTTTAACTTTGATATAATGCTTCAGCAGATTGTGTTTAAAAAAAGGAAATTCAAAATAAAACACATTGTAACATCAAACTATTTTTTATAAGATTTCAATCAATTTAAAATTGAATGTACCTTTTTTTGCATAACACATCTATTGGAAAATACAGAACCCAATCAGGTATGTGATTTTCAACCAATATAACAGAATGCAGTGTAAGGGATGTTGACATATTTATATGACTTAGTTATTAAGATAAAGAAATTCAAGATTTGCAGTGGCCTGCTAAAGGAGACCAATGTCCGTTTCATCTGTTGATGTTAATTCAGAATTCATTGTTATACCTTTAAAAATTGGTTCCTATACAAATCTATTCCAAAAAGTCTATTATATCTTATGTTTTGCTGAGTAGGCATAAAAACATGGATGTTTGACCGCTGAATGAGATGCTTGACCGATTACGTCACAGAATGGGCGGAGCTTAATCTCATATTTTATTCGTTCAACAGTGACCGTCCCGAGGTTTCACGGAAAACAGTACAAGATTTATCATTACAAACGGCCTAAGGCAGACAGTTTGGTTCTTCGGTCCGACTAAACGCATGTTGCCATCGACCTCAGTCAATAAATGTATACTGTTTCAATTGATTGTTTGCCAAAACGACATGATTATAAGAAGCTACGTATATTAATTTCTTCACAGTCCCTGGATTTTAATTGAGAATATCTTATCTTTCACACATCACAGTATTTGTATTTATTTGCATACCTTTTTCAAAATTAAATAATTGGAATTACGCCATTTAAACTTTTAAAGCAAGCCTAAAAGTTTGTTACGTTTAAAAAAATGTTACAGCATTTCAATTGATAATCAAGTTGTGTCTACCTCTGTATAAAAGAAAGAATTAATTTTCTTGTTTCTCAATTGCATTTCAAAGATCAACAAAGAATAACACATTTGTAGCAAAGAAAAAAACAAATTTTAAAACAATGACAAAACTTAAAGAACGTTTATTCATATATCAGCTTGACACTTTTTTGAAGACGGCAGAAATTTTCAATTATTTGTGTTACCTTTACAATTTAGTGGGGAGATTTTGGATATGAATTTAAATACAAGACTTTGTCATTACAGATCTAAAACTTTAATGAAAAAATTATTTTAAAATGAAAACATATTTTTTTTTTTCGATTTTAGATGTGAAAAAAATGACACAAATATATACGAATATATACGTATATTGCTTGAAGTCCTTTGTACAAATAAGGCTTACGTATTATCATGTTTAGATCAATTATTTGATCAATATTACTATATTACTATTTATATGGGAATTTTGAATAGACAATAACATTGCAGGTGTTCGACTTTTTTTTTGCACTGGTTTTCATTGCAAGAGGAAAGCGTATAATATTAATTAATGAATGAAAAAGGGTATTTTAGCAAAGAGGTGAAGCTACTTTTATCGTATAGGGGCTGTTATTATAGTTATTCATTGAAAGTATAAAATAAAAAAATCATTACAGCAATTTTCTTTTTACTCACCCATAGTGCATTCAAAACTGAGAATCCGATGTCATGTATATGGTGAAATTATTCTTAAAGTAAAAAGGCAATTAAACTCTTGTTATTATTCTGATTAATGAACTAGAGGCAAATTTACAAATTGATATGTCTGAAAATTACAACAAACAAATCCTGGCAAAGTTTCTACAGATGAATCAAAAGATTGAATTATGTTGTCTTTATCAGATATTTTGAGCTTTTTAAAGTGTTTTATAGAATTAATTATACACTTTCTGAAATGGAAAGTACATTATCTTTCATATATTACCTGTAAGATGTGCTCATACGAATACCTGAAAATAGAACTCCTAGCAATTTCACGTTCCATAATCTCTTGTGTTACCATATTACAGTTCATGATATGTACCCAAAACAGAATTCTCAAACAGGAAGTCTTAACTTGTTCCATTAAATAAGATATACATCATTCAATATATTGATTTGTCAGTCATTTAAATACCCGTATTCAAAAGTCAGCATTTTTAAGCTTTATCTTATCAATGTACAGGAATACCTGTTCCTGAAGGTCGCCTTTAAACTCCCATTTCATTTAGACTGTGTAAATTTTAAAAGTTTTTGTCAGTCTGCAGCAAGAGCAAAACGTTTCAAATATCCTGATTCCTAGAGGTTTAAACAATATTTATTCATAAAACTTACTAAATTGGACAATAGACAAATTTGTCTAAAAATATCTCTCTATACAAGGTCATGGGTAACAAATATAATAAACTGAGTTAATATTCATAATAAAATATGGGAAAACACAAACACTCTCATACACACCCTCTCCTTCATACACAAAAACACACCCTAATTTGCACAGATCCAAATCAAGAATAATGCAACAAATAATTGTATAGAATTATATAAAGAGGTGATTCATATATGATCACTAGAATAAATAGAAATTGTTATTCCTCTCGTTTCGATCTGATAATCAAAAAAAAATTATCAGATCGAAAGAAGAAGAATAACACTTTTGTATAATTATTCATGTAATCATGATAATTTGTTACCCTCCGTTCACACATAGACGCCGCTTCTACTACGATCAAAGCGTGGCTGAAAACGTGGCCGATGGTGACAAATCGCAGGAGAAACGTCGTGGAGTCTTCATAAGTGCAGTATGATCTCAGTAGAGGCTTCATGATCGGAGAGCTCTACGCTCTCGTCACGCTTATTTTGAACATTTTGAACAAAAGCGTAGCGGGATCGTGGCCATCAAGAATCAGATAAAGCCGTAAAAGAGGGTAGTAGAAGAGCCGTAATCGTACAAGCAGCGCGGAAGTATCGTGGAGAGATCTACCTGATCGTAGTAAAACCGCAATAAAAGCGTAGGAACTTACAAAGTACGCTCCTACAACGCTCCCTCTACGTTCGTACTACGTTCTTGCTAAGATCTCTCTACGTTCCTGAAGATCCTACGAAGACCTACAATGACCTTACGCCGATCATATATCACGACCTATAAGGCAAGAGTTTGTTTTTATAGCGCTGATATTTGACCAATCATCATCTGTAAACTACGTAAATGTGTAAAAGGGTGACACTATACTTGACGATCATTTGCAATTGAGACTTTTCACATCTTGTTACAATTACAATTGAAAATGCCCCGTAAACCACCATGTGGTAAAGCGTCAACGCAGTAAACACGGCCGCTTGTCGGCAACGGTCTGCGTAACATCGTAGTAGAAGCGTGTTAGCAGCGCGATTGACATAAGGACATCGTCGTACGGTCGTAAGGAAGACCATAATTTGCCAAAGTGCTCTGTTTAGACGCCGCGGCCAATCGGCTGCGATCTGCCCCGATCCAAAACTTTTTCACATCATGGCTTGATCGGGACCACTCACTCACTCACTCAGTCGTCCTTAGACGACCAAAATCGATCGGAATGATCGTCTTAAAGTCGCAGCTCTGTGTGAACTGATTGAATGTTGCTCTTTTCAAGTTAAAGACAGCTTATAGCAAGCATTTGTTGGGTTTTGAATAAATTACCAAAAAAATTGCAATACGGAATAATTATCACATTTTTATTGAGGTCACATGCAGGTAAAAAAAGAGAGAAAAAAATACGATGTCGACAAATCATAAATTTATAGTTTTCTTTCTTAAAAGGAATTACTTCATATTTATGTTTCAGTCGTTCAAACTTTCACTATTCCAGTCATCAAGGTTAATTGCTTTATCATAAATTTATTCCTTTCAGATTGCAAAAGTCCAAAATAACGTGAACAATTCTATGAAAAAGAGCATTACCTAATATGACGCATGTTTTTTTTCTATCTCACCTTTCTAATTGATACTTAAGAAGAACATGTTATGAAATGAAATTAATTTAACTTCGTTTATTAAGAATTGAGGATCGGGTAGGAATGGGTCCAACTTTGGTGGAAAAAAAGCTTCAGGGCTTAACTGTTTTTTCGTTTTAATAAAACCATTCTTTTTAGTAAACTCAAATCTCATCAGTGCATTCCTTAGAACGCGACCTTGATTTAGCGTGTAAGGACTTTTAAAACTATATTCCTTCTTTTGTTTGCTTTTATTTCCTTCGAAACTTTTTTCACTAATGCTGAAACATGAACAGTTGCCGGTATAAAAAAAAACTGCAAAGGAAGTCCATAAAGTTACGGCTTTGGCTTGAGGGGTAGTAATGAAATTTGTATCTTACCAGCACTTACTGCAAAACAAGTACGGGACCTCGGTTTGTACGAACTCTTCCGAAAGACCTGTCTGCACATCCTGCATTAGGACTCGAGTCCGCAAGTAAAGGTTCAACTCCTTAATCAGCAACTCTACAATAAACACTCTAACAACTCTGCCATTAGCAGGACAATGACTTTTCGTGATTGTGGAATCCAACTTATCCGAAAGAAATAATCAATGATTGGATTTTATAATTGAATGTAATGCCATGCCTTCGGTATTATTTTTATCATGTGCAAAATATTACATGAACACGTAATTCTGATCTTTGTGATGCGATTTCGGTAGATGAAATACTCGTCATGTGACATTAGTCCGGTATATATATCTGGCAAACCCTTTTGGCTTCAAAATAAGCGTCAGTTGAACTTTGCAGAACATACTTTCGAGGTAGTCAGAGAAAAAAAATCTGTACGACTATTTTCCTCCACAAAGAATGATTTCTAGTAAGTTATTTTGCTAAGTGTACTACCTTTAAAGAATGTGTAAAGCGTGTTCCCTATTTATGTTTATATTTTTGTGATAGAAACAAAATAGATAAATCTTTTTTGTCGACAGCAATGTAAATTCTTAATTATTATTTCTTATTTTAACATTTCGGCATATTAACCAATATAAAATAAACAAAACATAAACTATAAGAATAAAAATAACCAAGTTCATGTATCTATCCTTATAATCTTACTCTCATAATGACGTAATGATATTATGACATACATGTATGTCATAATATATTACACAAACTCTTTTAGAGAGGTAAGTTTTAAAAAAAACTCTGCTTAGCATGTTTTTATTCTAGTTGCCGAATGTGAGACGACTTAAATTTTTCACTAAGATATTTTAATAGGATGCTTAATCAAAACCAGGCACCTGATCGCCGATGGTGATTTAAAATGTTCAGTGTTGTTTGACTGTTCACAATGCGGTTTGTTTTCTAAATTTATGGAATTCCTTATAAAGAACTTTTACCTTTAACGTACAAATTACGCCAAAACATTTATTAATTTCTAAAAGTGTCAGGAATTATAGACTCTAGATATATAGTCCTTATTCTGATTGTTGTCAATGCTATCTATGGTTTTTCAATTTATGAGACTGCTATAAGTAGAACAAATATCATAGTTATACTAGCTCCATTCCTTCCCCGATTTCTTTTTGTATCCATATCATTGAAAATCCTGAACAATAGAAGTACGCTAATATTGTCCAGATATTCATATTGGAAGTCAATATTTGGGAAATGAAAAATATTTCACAAAATATTGAATGTATATGTTCTTTTGATTCATATACGCCTAGGTTTAAACACCTTATGATCATATTACAGTTAAATTATATCAAAATTAACATAATCAAGATTATTTGATTTTATATCAAATAGTAAATTATTAATTTAGGACAGGGTTTTTAATGTTTGGAAGTTGGGCCGAAGTGTACACAAGGTATTACTTCAGGAATATACAAAGATGTATTACGAGTCAAACTGCGTACGAGTTAATCATAAATGTGCACCGGAAGTTATCCCCCTTTTCGAACCAGCAAATTGTTGAAACCAGACGCTTTTTTCTACACTAAGTAATCAAAGGCCATCACGTCCACAGAACCGAAATTATGCCACCAGTTAGAACGTCAGTGACCAAAAGAGCGTCCAGGAAGCGGAGGGAGACTATAGGAACCCCATCGAGAGGCAGAGGGCACCGGTGCAGGCAAAGCACTAGGCCCAGGACAAATCTCTCGCCAACACGCCGGGCCACCGCCGAGGCAACAGGCGCAGATGGAATTCCTGCACTTCCTCTGCCATCCGATACTATACAACCAACGTTGACACCACAAATAGAACAAAGCATCCCTGGAATCCCCAGTGGAAGCGGTGAGTCAAATTCAAATTTTTCAAGTCAACCACTACAAGATATCAGTTGTTATGATTCCGTTGGTTCACACGTCCCTCAGAAAATTAAAAAACAAATATGGGAGTGCAAATTTATAGATCTCTCACTGCTTACTAAAACAGCTTGTGAATTACAAGATTATGAATCACAAGGGGACATACAAATTAAAGAAGGGCGGCTATGCATTGTGAAACCAAAAACAAATACCATTCTCACAATCGATAAGTGGACATTGGCTTTTATTATATTTACAAGCATAATGTTGGAGAAATTTCCAACACGGGCTCAAGAACTACTCAAGTATCTCAGAGATATCAGAATCGCTGCTACTAGGTCAAATAATTGGTTTAAATATGACGAGCAATTTCGTTTAAAAATGGCCAATCAGCCCCAGTTGTCATGGGGTCAAATTAATCAGGAATTTTGGCTTTTGTACATATCTACATTTGTAACAAGGACGAAACTATTCAAACGTATAATCAAACCTCTTCTCAAAGTCAAAGTTCTTACCCAAGCAATCCAAACCGTACTTTGGCATTTTATTGTAATAATTTTAACAAGGGAGTAAGTTGCCCTTTCTTCCCTAAGTGCAAGTACAGACATGCATGCAGCAAGTGCGAAGCTAACCACCCAAGTATCAGGTGTTCAAAGTAATGGTTCAATATATTCTTTGGGTACAACACTAATCAAGTTACATTTGTACAAAATTTATGTAAACATTTAGTTGGATACTCTGATTGTGAATTCATATTCCAGGGTTTAAGTATGGTTTTAATCTTTAATATTTGGGCCTCAGGACAACCCACATTTTTTCTAACCTCCCTAGCCTCAAGGCTAATACAGTAATAGCTGAAAGTAAAATTCAAAAAGAACTAGCATTAAAACGAGTCGCAGCCCCCCCTTTTTTTCTTCACCAACCATTTCACAGAAGAAGGGTAACAAAGAACATAAAAGCTGACCTCACAGTATGGAAAACTTTTTTGCAATCTTACAATGGTATATCGGTTATATTTACCCAGCCCTGGATTCATAATTCAACTTTTCACAGATAGCTCAGGGGGAACTATTGGAGGGTTTGGTATCTACTTTAGCAATGTTTAGGGGGAAATGGGCTTATGGGGTCTGGCAAAGCCTTTGGGTTGAACTAAGTATTACTAGGGACATGACTTTCCTGGAACTTTTCCCCATCGTAGTCGCTATTATATTATGGCAGAGCCACCTTGCCAATTCTAGACTTGTCTTCCATATTGACAACATGTCAGTTGTCCACATCATCAACAACACATCTAAATCTGATAGGGTCATGAATTTTGTTCGCAAGCTTGTGTTTATATGCCTAAAGTCAAATATTGGCCTTATATTTTCCCACAAAACAAAACCATTGTAGACTCCTTATCTCAACTTTAGTGGGGCAGATTCAGGAAACTAGCACCGCAGACAGACTTAGGGCCCATCCCACTACCAAGTCATATCTGGGAAATATAATGCTTGAAGCAGATCGATTATTACAATGCTCAATAGCACCATTAACACATCGAGCATATTCAACAGCGCTGAACAAATTTCAAAACTTCCTTTCAGAATTTAATTTCCAAATTATTTGGCCAGCACCAGTGCAACAGCTCGTGAATTTTATTGGTTCCCTCTCACTTAATAATATGTCATACAGAACAGTATCACTGTACCTAAATGCAATCTCATACATACACAAAATACATGGCTTTCAGGACACACACACACACACACCCTCACACTCACACACACACACACACACACACACACACACACACACACAAAAAAAAAGCCCAATCACAATCTTAAATTTACAAAGAAATGACAAGCTTCTTACACATCTAAATTCTAAGCCACTTACAAAGTATCAGTTTCAAGTCATTTTACAAAAAGCATTACAATTCATTGGGGTCACCGGGCACTTTAGGTCACATAGTTTCAGAATCGGCATGGCAACCGAGCTTGCCAAACAAGGCCTCTCAGATACTGAAATAAAAGCAAAAGGAAGGTGGGGATCAACTTCATATTTAACTTACATTAGGAGACAGTAAAGCTGTCCCCTTGTTATTGTAGTACCTACTAACTCTACCAAAGATTTTTCAGGTACCCCACCCATTTGGATAATGGGATCATCAATTCCATTCTGGGCAGGCCATCATGCTGCAACCTACCGATCAGGGGGAAATAACCTTAATTTACCTGCCACAATTACTTGTTAGGGCAGAGGGGTATGCATTGGTATCAGTTAGACAAGGCAGTTTCTGATTATTTACTTCAGTATTCTACACCCAAATTTCTATTGATACACCTTGGATCTAATGATTTAACAACACCAGATTTAACAAGCATCAAACTGATTCATCAAATACAGTGCAGCCTGTATCACTATAACATACTTCTTCCAAGTTCCACTTTAATCTTTTCCTCAATGTTACCTAGGCTGTACTGGCATGGTGCCCCTCCAACAGCAGGTGCAAAAATAACAAGAAACGACTCAAAGTTAACAAGTCTATCAAAAAGTTTATAACTACTGAAGTAAATGGCTGTTACATAAACAATGAATCAACCATTAAAATCTCGGAAATACAATTGTTCAGGCATGATGGTACCCATTTGTCAAAAACTGGTCTTGAGGTTTACCTTAATAACCTGCAGTCTGCTCTACACATGTTTTTAAACAAGAGAACCAATGTAATTGTATATCCTCCAAATTAACTCAATGTTTTATTTCAAGTACTTAATTTTTGTGGGGGGACATAGTGTCTATGTCCTGTGGCGGGGACTGGGGGATACTTTTGTGTATGTTGGGATCAAGTGGCCCCATAACCTGGTTGTCTCCCCACCCTGCCTCAAAGCAGGGGGGCGTTTTGGTATGTGATACATAAGTACATGTAGCACATAAGTTGTCTAAAGTAACATTATATGGTAACATCCGTGGTTCATGGCCTGTCATGGCTGGTTCCACCTCCACCTCGCACAAGTGGGGGGAGGCCACAGTCTGGTAAAGTAAATGGGTACACCAGGTGGCGCTGGAGACAGGGAGAAGGGCAGTCCCGCATTCACTGGTCCAGAACGTGGTGACCGTTCGGATCGGGCACTTGTGCTTACACTCGGCCCCCTATGTGCCCATTGTTATTTTGGTACATTTGTAGGTATCCCCCGTCCCCCACAAAAAATTGCGGCCTTTTTATCTCCAATTACGTTGATTGTAACAAATGTGTGTTTTTGTGCTAAAAGTATCAATAATAAAGTGATAAACTGAATACATGTGTTATCATTACAGGTGTTTACATGATTGGATGGGTCTGATCTGAGTTGTCTGTATGTCTGTTATCTTAGTAGGGGATGGACTCCGAAGCAAAGCGCTTGTGCTGCAAACACATTGTAGGAGGGTAGTACACTAAGCGGAAAGTTGTGTAAAGGGATCATACTCCCTGTATCTATAATTAATCAAGATTATTTGATTTTATATCAAATAGTAAATTATTAATTTAGGACAGGGTTTTTAATGTTTGGAAGTTGGGCCGAAGTGTACACAAGGTATTACTTCAGGAATATACAAAGATGTATTACGAGTCAAACTGCGTACGAGTTAATCATAAATGTGCACCGGAAGTTATCCCCCTTTTCGAACCAGCAAATTGTTGAAACCAGACGCTTTTTTCCCAGCCCACCCACCCCTGTAATTAATAGTTGAAAGGTCATTGCTTATCAAAATTTAAGAGTTTTCCTTTCTGTTGTGTTTTGTTTTATCTTGCAGGACACTAGAATGTGGACCCATGGGGATACCATGCACCCATCAGTGTGGGAAAGTGTGAGAAGTGCAGAGCCTTTTACCATCAAGGACTAATTACACGCTTACACCAGTTTATTAGACTTTTTAGCGCATGTAGTGTAAATTAACTACCGTGAACACTTTCATAACAGGGGAAGCCTGGTTAATTATAAATGGGGAAAATCATATTTGGGAACTTATCCTTTAACCCTTTATTGTCGCAATTCCGGGATGGGGGTACGGGGACTGGGGGATACTTTTGTGTATGTTGGGATCAAGTGGCCCCATAACCTGGTTGTCTCCCCCCCTGCCTCAAAGCAGGGGGGCGTTTTGGTATGTGATACATAAGTACATGTAGCACATAAGTTGTCTAAAGTAACATTATATGGTAACATCCGTGGTTCATGGCCTGTCATGGCTGGTTCCACCTCCACCTCGCACAAGTGGGGGGAGGCCACAGTCTGGTAAAGTAAATGGGTACACCAGGTGGCGCTGGAGACAGGGAGAAGGGCAGTCCCGCATTCACTGGTCCAGAACGTGGTGACCGTTCGGATCGGGCACTTGTGCTTACACTCGGCCCCCTATGTGCCCATTGTTATTTTGGTACATTTGTAGGTATCCCCCGTCCCCCACAAAAAATTGCGGCCTTTTTATCTCCAATTACGTTGATTGTAACAAATGTGTGTTTTTGTGCTAAAAGTATCAATAATAAAGTGATAAACTGAATACATGTGTTATCATTACAGGTGTTTACATGATTGGATGGGTCTGATCTGAGTTGTCTGTATGTCTGTTATCTTAGTAGGGGATGGACTCCGAAGCAAAGCGCTTGTGCTGCAAACACATTGTAGGAGGGTAGTACACTAAGCGGAAAGTTGTGTAAAGGGATCATACTCCCTGTATCTATAATTAATAAAGTTAAACCCCAGCAAAACCTAGTTGACATTTCTTATATTTTAATAACTTTAAGCAGGTTTTATTGATACTTGATTTGAAGGTGGTCTGTTATAATCAAATAAAAATACAAATTTAGAAATTGAATGGTAATATTATAGATTAGATAAATGGAGAAGCAATTAAAATATATATTAAATATTATATGATTTACATTTATTTACCATGATAGTTCTGATGCTGGGTTGACAGGTGGTATGTCAGAACTAAAATAAACAGAATTAACAGAAATAAGCAGAGAAAAGAGAGAATTAATCAGGTTTGCAACAACGAAAAGAATCTAAATGAATTGAGGCGAGATATTGGGTGGTGTAAATCTGAAAAGGTTAAGGTTAAGAGTCCTCTAGTATCGCCGTCAAAAGAAACCTACATGTAGGGCAAGGTACACGGTGATAAGTTAAGAGTTACCTGGACATTAAAGTTCAGCCCATCTTATATCATTTTCGGTTAAGACACACACAGAGAGGTTTAAGAAAAATGATAAAAACGGATATACATGTAGATATTTGTTATTTAACGTCCCTTTCGAGAATTTCCCCCTCATATTGAGACGCAGGCATTTACCGATAGAGTGGGTGCAAATTAAGATCTATACTTGGCACTGAGGCAATTGTGAAGATTTTTTTTGCAAGCACCTACTGCGAGAAGTAACTGCATAAAATTCAAACAGTCAATAATAATAAACGAGTTTATCAGAAATTCAATCTATAGTTAAATCAAACGCTGTCAGACTTATCTAAAAGCAATCATCAGGTAATATTTTTCACGTCGAATTGTCTTCCTATTTTTTTTTATTCTTTTTACTGTAATGAAAAGGAACACACTACAGGAATGAGCGATTGGAAGGGGATTTTCATTCTTTCATGGCATCTGAATGAATTTCCTAGCTAGAAATACTGTTCGCTACCTCCATAAATCTTTCAATATGTTTTACACTTTCCTGCCGTGGGTAGTAACTGTAACATTTTGCATTAATTCAAGTTGAACCTGAAAAAACATTTTGCAGAAACGTAGTTCTTCATTTTGCTCTTTGGTATATTTTGTAGAAGTACTTTTTTACTAATTAAGGATATCATGTTTCAATTTTCAATCATGTTCAACTCTCGCAGTTAATGGCCCTTTATAAAATGCTAAATTACTGAACATTCACTCTATTCTTGACTTTTCCCTTGTGCCTATACAGCACAGCTTTTGTAACTTGAATTTTTTATTAATTTCATTTGAAAATATCCACGGTTAAATTTGGTTCTTTGCTACATTATAATATTTATTGTAAAACATAAACTTAAAAAAATGGCAATCATTTTAGAAGGCGTGTGCCTTTTCATGAGATATCAAATACATCTAAGTGTTATTTTGTCGTACATGTGAACCTAAACTAGATAATGTAAATTTTTGTTTACATGTGAGAAGAATGTATCATTTATTTATGCGAAAAAAAAACTATATTAGCTTGACCGGTCGGCAGGGGATGCTCACTCCTCCATGGCACATGACCCCACCTCTGATGTTTCGGAGGTCCGTGTTTGCGCTGCTCCTATTTTGTATCTTTTCATGGACTTTTGATCTGGAATACTGTTCGTTATCTTCATATGTTTCACATAAAAAGAACATGGAGCATCATGTAACGTGTACTTTTTAAAAGTATATATATATATACAGTCAATTCTCGAATTATCGCCATTCGATTCATCGCCATTTTCGTAATACCGCCATGATTTCCCAAGAACGTTTTTCCTGCTTATATAAAATTCTCTTTATAACGCCAAATTCGCATACCGCCATCCGCCACCCTGTTTTCACAACAAACGTCCATTTTTAAGTGTCAATTATCTCGATATACCGCCACAGGTGCATGTGGTCAGTGAAGCGCGGCTAATTGGTTGACGGCTATCCCTGTTATAAAGCATGCAAAGGCAACCAAGGTACATGTAATTTAGTAATTAAACAAGAATTAAATAAACAATAATTTTAACATGAACTTTTATAATTCTGTTTTCTGTTTAATAAAAATCATTTAATTACAGCTTCGCCATGAAAGCGGTCGTGGTTAAAGTACGCCGATAACGACATTATTTTGATGATCTCTGCATTAAACAATGCAAAATTTGCTGAAAAAATAATTATACGGTATAAATTGTGAACGTTTCTTTAACAATGATGCCATAAACAATGAATTTATTCAAGAATTCATTTTACGTACTATCGGCAATATATCACGACGACGACCCAGCATGGTTTTTTTTCAATATTAGACGTGCAGATTTACATGTACTTGTCTTTATTCATAACTGCACATTTTTTTTTAGCGAAATTGTATATTAAAAAAAAATACCTTGTAGTATTTTCAATCAGAAATATGTTTTTATATACATGTACATTTAACAATAAGAATGAAACGCTAAATGGTATTTCTAAGAACGATAACTCTATTTCTTGTTTTCTAAAAGATGGGAAATTCGATTCATCGCCAAATTCGTTATACCGCCATGATTTCTAAATTACAAAAGGTGGCGGTTTATCGAGAATTAACTGTGTATATATATATATATATATATATATATATATATATATATATATATATATATATATATATATATATATATATCCACATGTATAAGGTTAAATGACTTCATTGGCTTTTCATTTTAAGGATAAGTAAAATTGTGCATAAAGTACTGACTTATTCAGCAATGAATGAGTTTTATAACGTAGAAAACTCATCAAGGTTTAATTAGCTCAAGCATTCTACTTATGATGGAAAAGGTCCTGATAGATATTTTTAGTTTTTTTTTTTTTTTTTTTTTTTTTTTTTTTGCAGATTACTTGCAGTTAATTCATATAAGGATGATTTATTAAGTTGTCTATGAAAAGACAAAAATTATTGTTTTTAAAATAAAAGTTTAGTTTGTTTAAGGGATGCATTGCGAAAGCTGATAAATCTTATCTACATATTGATATATAATATGGAACACACTCAGTAAAAAAAATCGTTTCCAAAACGGATATCTCATGGGATATGGAGATATCAAGTAATACTGAAACTTAAATTATACATATTTATAAAAGATGTTTTATTTTAATTTAAAAAATGAATAAACATATTTCAAGACACTTTATAAAGTTGATTTATGATTCAATTCTTTAAAACGGAACACTGAAAAAATTACTATATTTTAGTTTAACTCACTAAGAAAACTAGTTAATTTACTATCCATACAATCATTGCCTCAAAAGTAGTTTTACTGTAAATGTAGATTTACTAGATGACATTAGTAAATGAAGAATTTATAAGTAACTTTCACTGGTATCTATGCGACCCCCGCTCCACGATACATCTTCTACTCACTATCTTAGCTAGTAAACAGAATGATTACTAATCACGACAAACGCTTTACAAGACACACTTGTTGAATTAACTAGGTATTACTTTCAGTGAATACTTTTTTAACTACATCTTTGAAAGAAATGAACCTAGTAATAAGGTTGCTTATGGAAATGACTTAAACACATAAAAACTTAAGGCTCCTATAA